ATGGGAACTAATCAAGGAGAGAAGCAGCCTGGAATTAAGGAGAAAGCCCCTAACAGTGAGGACAATTAACCAGTGGAACAGCTGGCCACCAGATATCGTGGGTGCTTCATCACTGGAGGATTTTAGGAAGAAACTGTGCAGCCATTTGTGCAGAATAGCGAGGGTCTCCTGTGTGAGCAGGGGGTTGGACTAGATGACCACCAAGGTCCCTCCCAACTCTGTTATTCTGTTATTTCCCGACAGTTAGAACAATTAACCGGTGGAACGACCTGCCTCCAGAAGTTGTTGGTGCTCCATCCCTGGAGGTTTTTAAGAAGAGATTGGACAACCCTTTGTCTGGAATGGCATAGGGTCTCCTGCTTGAGCCGGGGGTTGGACTAGAAGACCTCCAAGGTCCATTCCAGCTCTCTTCTGATGGATTGATTCCTGGCAAAGTTAGACAGGCCGTCCCTCATTTTTTGGCATGGGGATGGGTTGCAGGTGGTGGGAAGCCCCCCGGGTCTGCGCTCGGCTCAGCTTTTCACGATGAAAGGGATCGCTCTTTGATTGCGGCCCAACGGAGAAGCAGGGCAGACAACATTGTCGTAATTTCCTTCATCAAAGGCGAGTGATGTCAATCACCGTTTCCCTTCTTCTTTTTTTCTTCCCCCCCTCCCTGCCCCGCCGTCCCCGAAAACAATTTTAAAATCCTTCGTTTTCATTTCATCTCTGATCTTTTTTTTTTTCTTCTTTTTTTTTTTTCAAATGGCCCCCGTGGCTTCTGGAAGTGCCCTCCATCCGTCCAGCTGTCCGGTTTCCTTCTGAAAGGAAGATTAGCGAAATATTTCCTTTTTCATTCCTAAAGCTTTTGAACGCGTTATCACATTCCGGTTTGGGGAGGGGGTGTGTGTCAGGGAAAGAACAGGGGGGGGGGTCTACGAGACTGCTGCCCCGTTCCTTTCCAGCTGCCTAATTATATTTTGTTTTTCAACACGGGGTGATTTAGCTGCACCTAAAGCTCCGGAGTCCCCGTTTGATCTTGACTTCTGCACTCCGGCAGGAAACGCAAGCAGCCGTGTCGAAGCAAACAAGAGGGGGCTAATGGGATCAGAGGGACCTTAAATAACTCTCCCACCACACAGACACACACACACACACACATACACACACACAGTTTGGTTAGGATGTTGCAGCTGCTGACACCTTGCCGAGTCCTTCAGCTGCCACTGATGAATGTTTTGCTGCAAATTATCACCCCTACTAAATCTTTGGGAAGGGATTAACCAAGATAAAAGGTAGTGGTTCTGTATACAGCACAGCAGACTTGAAAGGGACCCCGCAGAGGTCTTCTAGACCAACCCCCTGCTCTAGCGGGAGACCCCCTGCCGTTTCAGACAAACGGTTGTCCACTCTCTTCTTGCAAACCTCCTGTGATGGAACACCCACAATTTTTGGAGACGAGTTGTTCCACTGGTGAACAGATAACAGGTAGCAGGATAACCGAGTTGGGAGGGACCTTGGAGGTCTTCTAGTCCAGGGCTTTTCAACCTTTTCACCCATTGTGCCTCTTTTAGGATAGGGCAACATCCGAGGACCACCAGTCGCCTAGCAAGGTGTCAAAAACTTGATGACAAAAACAAAAACGGAAAAAAGTGATGAAGTGCAGGTAGTCCTCGACTTACAACAGTTCGCTTAGTGACTGTTCGAAGTTACAATGACACTGAAAAAGCCCCCCCCCAAGCCACAGCCGAGCAAGACGCCTGCCCGCCCGGCGGCGCTCTTCCTCCTGTCCGAGGTTTTCATTTTTGTGAGCATTTCTGTTGAGGATCGGCAGCGGGGATGGGGTGGGGGGTGTTTGGTTTTTATTCCCCCCCATCTGCTGGGTGGTTGCAGCAGGTTTTGGTCACTTCACATGACCCTGGGACACTGTGACCGTCATAAATATGAATCATTGGCCAAGCATCTGAATGTAAATCACAAGACCCTGGAGAGGCTGCAACGTTCCAGCTGATGGGTGCGTCTTCTGGGCTCAGCAGTAACACCAGGATCAGCGCTGAGCTGCAACTGGATCCTGGCGCTGATCCTGGCGCTTCCACTGAGCCCTGACAGCCCCGAAGAAGCGCCGATCAGTTGGAAAGCGGCACTGATCCTGGCGCTTCCGCTGAGCCCTGACAGCCCCAAAGAAGTGCTGATCCTGGCGCTTCCGCTGAGCCCTGACAGCCCTGCAGCTCCAGCCGTCTCTCGCTCAGGCTTGTGCGGTGCTGCCACCGGTTCAGCTCATTCCCCTCCCCGGCTACCACTTTTCTAGGATGATCGCGTATCACCTGCCAGGTGCCCATATACCACAGGTGGTATCCGTACCACTGGTTGAAAAGCCCTGATCTAGTCCAACCCACCCTGCCCAGGCAGGAGACCCTCTCCCATTTCAGACACGAAGGTAAATGCAAGCATTAATACACTAGTCCTTGACTTAGGACCGCAACGGAGCCCCAAATTGATGTTGCTAAGTATCAGGGCTTTTAAGTGAATTTTGCCCCATTTTGCGATCTTGGTTGTTAAGTGAATCACTGCGGTTAAGTTGGCCACTTAAGGCTGTTAAATGAATCTGGCTTCTCGTGTTGACTTTGTCAGAAGGTCGCAAAAGGGGATCACGTGACCCCGGGAGGACGCCGCGACCGTCATAAACACGAGTCAGTTGCCAAGTGTCTGAATTTCGATCACGGGACCCGGGGGTCGTTAAGTGTGAAAAACGGTCCTAAGTCCCTTTTTTTCCAAGGGCTGTCGTAACTCTGAACGGTCACTAAGCGAGCTGTTGTAAACTGAGCACTGCCTGGGCCCTTCTTGCTGATTCTAGCCAAGGTGTGCCTGGGTCTAAATAAAGGCGTGAAATGGAGATTTTTTTGTCCGTCCGCCAGCTCTAAAATGGTTCGTTTTCTCTTTTTCCCCCAGTTTTTACCAACTACTACCACGGCTCAAGACCGCAGACGTTGTCCATCAACAACAACACCCTCTTGCTGAACATCTCGACAGAACGTCCCACGATGGGAAATGAGAGCGACGGTCCTTCAGATGCCGCGCACGAGGGGCGAGAAACCGCCGTCCTGAGTCTGATGCTCATGCTGGGCACCTTGTGGCTTGGGCACACTCTTTATCAGTTCAAGAAAAGGTAATAGTAATAATAAAGTTGGAAGGGACCTTGGAGGTCATCTAGTCCAACCCCCTGCTCAGGCAGGAAACCCTACACCATTTCGGACAAATGGCTGTCCAGTCTCTTCTTAAAAACTTCCAGTGTTGGAACATTCACCGCTTCTGGAGGCAGGTTGTTCCTTTGGTTAATTTTTCTCACTGTCAGGAAATTTCTCCTTAGTTCTAGGTTGCTTCTCTCCTTGGTCAGTTTCCATCCATTGCTTCTTGTCCTGCCTTCAGGGGCTTTGGAGAATAGCTTGACTCCCTCTTCTTTGGGGCAGCCCCTGAGATACTGGAAGACTGCTATCTTGTCCCCTCTCGTCCTTCTCTTCGTTAAACTAGACATACCCAATTCCAGCAACCGTATCAATCAATGCCAATGGCACAGGGGTCCTGTGGCTGGTTTTTTTTTCCGGTTTGTCGGTGTTTCTCAACCCTCAGCCTCGGGAAGATGCGTGGACTTCAACTCCCAGAATTCCTCAGCCGGGCCTTTTGGAAGTTTCCATGGTTGAGGAATGCTGCTCTGTGCCCATTATGGGAGACTAGCACAAAAAGTGGTCATTGTCGTCCTCCTCTTCTTCCTCCTCTACCCTCATTTCCTTCTAGCACTGATGATGTTATCTAGTTGGGTCATGAGATGTCTGCAAGAAAACCACCAAGCTCAGAGAGCAGCAAGGACCCCATAGGCGTCCCCTTTCTCCTCCTCCTCCTCCTCCTCCTCCTCCTCCTCTACAAAGCCATTCCCTTCTTGCACTGAAGGTGTCACCTAGTTGGGTCATGAAACGTCTGCAAGAAAAAAACAAGCCCTGAGAGCACCAAGGTCCTCACAGTCGTCATTCTCCTCCTCCTCCTC